TTTTGAGTTATGGTGTTGGAGGAGAATATTGAAAGTATCATGGGCTGCCAAAAGAACCAATAGATCTGTTTTGGAAGATGTGCAGCCAGAGTGCTCCTTGGAGGCCAGGATGGCCAAACTTTGTCTCTTATACTTCGGACATATTGTCAGGAGGGACCAGTCTCTGGAGAAGGATATCATGTTTGGTAAGGTGGAGGGTGAGAGAAAAAGAGGAAGAAACACCCCCCCCGCCATGAGATGGATTGGCCAAGTGGCAGCATCTATGGACTCAAGCGTGGCAACAGTAGTGAGGTTGGCCCAGGATCAGGCAGTGTTTTGTTCTGCTGTGCATAAGGTCACTACAGTACTGATTCGATGGCACCTAACAACAATAACCATTCCCCCAAAATAATTCTGTGCTCTTTAATTTACACTGCATCAAAATGACAGGTTTGGTATGCTTGAGGGACTCAAATCTTGTTCGTTTTAAATGTGCTTTGAGTTTGAGGAATAAAAAGAAGTCTGAAGGGAAAAGATCGGGACTGTAGGGCGATGTCGTAAGGTTTCCCAAGGAAATTCTTGTAAGATTTCACTTGCTACTCTCAAAGAATGAGCAGGTGCACTGCCATGACTGGTAAAAGACCCTCAGTGCAACTTTTCTGGTCTTATTTTTACTGATGCAGTTTTCAACTTTCTAAAAACCTGTTCATGATAAGCCCCTCTAATTGTCCTTGGTCCTTCAAGAAAATTACTCCTTTGGAATCCCAAAATTCAGTTGCCATAATCTTCTGAGCTGATGTCTCCACCTTGAATTTAACTGACTCAGCAGATGTCCTTGGAAGTTACTGCTTTGATTAGATCTTTTTGAAGGCACCTTAACAAGACTAAGACAAGTATACAATTGACAGAACTTGTCCTCAGCCATCTACTGATCACAGTGACAAGTTTAAACATGCTTTCTTTGGAATAAGCCTGTGCATGAATGAACCAGAATTCCAGTTGTTGTTGTTGTTAAATACCATGGAGTCAGTTCTGACTTAAAGCGACCATATATAGTGTTTCCAAGGAGTGGCTGGTGGGTTTGAACATCTGACCTTATCCTACAGCACCACACCAACACTCTGGAATTCTAGTTGTTGTTGTTATTGTTTTTGGTAGGTGACATTAAATCAATTCCAAATTTCTAATCGCAATACTTTTTTTACTTACCATTGTATAGATACATGTTGTTGTTAACTGCTCTGGAGTTTCAACTCATAGCAACCCTGTATAGGGTTTCTGAGGATTTAAATCTTCACAGGAGCAGAAAACCTCATCCTATCCTATGAAGTGGCTGGCAGGATCGAACCATGGACCCTGTAGTTTGCAGTCCAGTGCTTACCATATGGAGTCACCAGCCTCCCTATATATACATGGACTCCTGGTATGGTGCTGTAGGCTAAGCACTGGCCTGTGAACTACAAGGTCAGTAGTTCAAACCCACCAGCTGCTCCTCAGAAACCCTATCCAGGGTCACTATGAGTCAGAACCAACACAACGGCACTAAACAACAACAATATGTATATACATATATATTTATACATGTGTGTAAACTCTTCTAGATAGTGTCAGTTTAGCCGATAAGTACGGTAAGCAAGTGCTTACTTGTACTTATTTACAAATCTGTGGTAAACAACTTCATGTTTTTTACTACATCATCTGCTTCTTGGTACTCATCTCTCTCCCAACCCCACAGTATATTTCTATAGAATGAAAGCCTCTTTTCAAATTTACAATCCTTCTTTCTAGATCACAACAGTAGAGACATAAGTGAATGTTAAGGAACCTTAACTGAATCCTGGTTTGTGGGAGTGGGGAACAGCTAAACATGCATTTGGAAGAAAATTGGGGAAATTTGGATGTGGGCTGAATACTAAATGTTTTCTGTAATCATTGGATTAGGTCTGGGGGTAGCGTGAGGGCAGGCAGTAATAATGGCACTGTTGATCTGTAAACAAATGTCATTATTCTTAGGAAATGCCAGCTGAAGGATTTAGTGGTAAAGTGTTGAGATAGCTGCACTTACTTTTAAGTAATTTCACAACATATGTATATACATCTATATATACAAGAAACCAAGAAAAAGTGTCAACAATTATTAAATCACACACAACTTTCTGTGTGTGTGAAAATTTTTTTAATGAAAAGTTGAGAGGGGTAATAATAAATGTTCCAAATGCCTGCGATGCCATACCTTATGCTGAGGACTTTTGAATATTGCAACCCACCAGAAGAGGGTTTTTAAAATATATTTAGTTTGGGCAAGTATGTAATTATGTGTTTTGCAATGGATATGCCTACTAATTGTATTTAGGCTAACAGGGAAAAAAAAAAAGCTTGGCTTCTCAACACAATAAATGACACAATGAACTAACAGAAGGGAGCCTGAAACTAAGACATTACAACTGTCCCTAGATATGTAATGTCCCTAGATAATAGAAGGCTATAAAACATGCCTATGTTTATCTGTGCAAAGCACACATCCATACATTTCCTTTTATGTGTCCATCTTCATTGATACATCTTGGACTCCACGTTCAAGGTACAGTATCTATCCAAAACACTGCGCAACCCTCAGCTTGGCGCCACAGACAAAGAAATGTTTACATGGCAATAAAAGGTGGTGGGATGATGCTGTGAAATGAGCAAGGGCCTGACAGAAAATGAGTCCACACCCTGGAACTCCAAAGTCTTGCAGGGCTTTGCCACCATTGCTAGTAGACCTCAACATTATTTGTCCAGCCCCCTGTTACCTTTAGATCCTCCTCTTGGAGCTTTTCCATATATTCCAGCATCTGTTCCTTCTCCTGCTCCCGCTGCTCGGCAAGGAGTGATCGCTCTTCCTGGTTCTTTTCCATCTGCTCCACAATGTGCCGTCTTCCTCTAGGAGGGAACAGTGCCACAGTGTCTTAGAAACTCAGGGTATGTGTCCCTCCACTTCAACCTCCACCCACAGAATTCCCCAAGATGGGATGCATCATGGGAACAGTTTGACAAATGTTCCTAAACAGTGACAAGCTTCTTGTACCCAGGCCAAAGTCCTTCCCCAGAGTGTCCTGGGGAGCTGACTGTCTGCTTTTCTGAGCTAGTTCTAGGGCTCACCCTTCTTGAAATTCTGTTTCTTTATTTGTTTTCCCAAAAGTACACCTCACACTATCATACACCTTCTTTCTTCCAGTATGTAACCAGTTACCTACTGTTGACTGAATCCCAACTTGTAGTGACCCCATATGTGTCACAGTAGATGACTTCATAGAGCTTTCAGTGGCTATGACATTTTGAAAGTAGCTCCCTAGACCTTTTTTCTAAGGTGTCACTGGGTAGATTTGATCTGCCAACCTGTTACTTATCAAGTGGTTAACTGTGTATACCACCCAGAGGCCCACAGTATGTAAAAGCCAAGTCAAGTAAATTCTGACTCACAGCAGCCCTATATAGGGTTTCAAAGACTGTAAATCTTAATCAGAATGGATAGCTTCAAGTCTTTCATCTCAGTCTTGAGCTCTAGCTGGTAGCCAAGCTTGTGCACTACAGACTCTTCAGAACCGTAGCCGCCATCAGCACCATTTGGGTCCCACAGTCTCATCTGTGCCACTCGTCCTCCCCATACTCTGCCGTCCCCAGCCGCCATCATGGTAAAGCTCGCGAAAGCCGGGGAAAATCGAAGTGATTCCAAGAAGCTGGCTCCTCCCCCCAAGGAGGTAGAAGAAGACAGTGAGGATGATAAATTGTCAGAAGATGAAAAAGACGAAGAAAGCAGTAGAGAAGAGGTTGTCATTCCTCAGAAAAAAGACAAGAAGAGTACCACACTGCCATAAAAGAAGGTGGCAGTTTCCCCCACTGAAAAGGTAGTTGCCATACCAGCCAAGGAAGCAGCTGTCACCCCTTGCAAGAATGCAGCTGCCACACCAGCTAAGAAGACAGTTACAGCAGCCAAAGCAGCAGCAACACCTGGCAAGAAGGGAACCACCCCAGGCAAAGCAGCGGTGGTGACCTCCGGTAAGAAGGGAGCTGCTCTTCCAGCCAAGGGGGCAAAGAATGGCAAGAATGCCAAGAAGGAGGAGAGCGACGAGGAAGATGATGAAGACAGTGAGGAAGATGATGAGGATAAGGATGAATTTGAGCCCATCATGACCAAAGGAGCGGCTGCCCCTCACTTTAGTGATGAGGAAGATGGTGATGACGATGATGATGAGGGAAAGGAGGATGAGGAGGATGAAGAAGAGGCCATGGACACTACTCTTGAAAAGGGCAAGAAAGCTCCTGCCAAGGTGGTTCCTGTGAAAGCTAAGAGTGTGGCTGAGGACGATGACGAGGAGGAAGATGATGAGCATGAAGATGAGGACGACAATGAAGAGGAGGAAGAGAAGGAAGAACCTGGAAAATGAAAGAAGGAGGTGGCCAAACAGAAAGCTGCTCCTGAAGCCAAGTAGCAGACAGTGGAAGCCATAGAACCCTTTCAATCTGTTTGCTGGAAACCTGAACTGTATCAAGTCTGCTCCAGAATTAAAAACTGGTCTCAGTGACCTTTTTGCTAAAAATGATCTTGTTGTCATGGATGTCAGAATTGGTATGACGAGGAAATTTGGCTATGTGGATTTTGAATCTGCTGAAGACCTGGAAAAAGCCTTGGAACTCACTGGTTTAAATGTCTTTGGTAATGAAATTAAACTAGAGAGACCAAGGGGAAAAGACAGTAAGAAACACTGAGATGCCAGAACACCTTTGGCCAAAATCTTGCCTTACAAAGTCACTCAGGATGAACTAAAAGAAGTGTTTGAAGATGCCATTGGAGATCAGATTATTCAACAATGATGGAAAGAGGAAAGGGATTGCTTATCTCGAATTCAAAACAGAAGCTGATGCTGAGAAAACCTTTGAAGAAAAGCAAAGAACAGAGATTGATTACCAGTCTATATCCTTGTACTACACTGGGGAGAAAGGTCCAAATCAAGACCACAGAGGTGGGAAGACGAGCACCTGGAGCGGTGAATCAAAAACACTGGTTTTAAGGAACCTCTCCTACAGTGCAACAGGAGAAACTCTCCAGGAAGTGTCTGAGAAGGCAACTGCTATCAAGGGGCCTCAGAACCAGAACAGTAAATCTAGGGGGTATGAATTTATAGAATTTGATTCATGTGAGGATGCTAAAGAAGCTTTAAATTCTTGTAATAAAAGAGAAATGGAGGGCAGAGCCATCAGGTTGGAATTGCAAGGATCCAAGGAATCCCCCTAATGCAAGAAGCCCGCCATCCAAAACAAGGTCTGTCTGAGGACAAAACTAAGAAAACACCGAAGGAGTCATTTGATGGTTCTGTTCATGCCAGGATAGACACAGACCACGAAATAGGCTCCTCCAAAGGGTTTGGGTTTGTAGACTTCAACAGTGAAGAAGACACTAAAGCTACCAAGGAGGCCGTGGAGGATGGGGAAATTGATGGAAACAAAGTTACCCTGGACTCTGGGCCAAGCCTAAGGGTGAAGGTGGCTTCGGGGGATGAAGTGGAGGCTGAGGAGGATTTAGAGGCAGAGGTGGCCATGGCAGAGGAGGCTGGGGTGGATTTGGAGGGTGAGGAGGCTTCTGGGGAGGCAGAGGTGGCAATCACAAGCCACAAGGAAAGAAGACAGTTTGAATAGATCTTCTGTCCCTGTCATTTCCCTCTTCCATTTAAAGGACTCTGGGGTTTTTACTCTATTACCAGATCATGACAGAGCCTTCTGAAGACATTCCGAGACAGTAGCCCTGTGGTCTACTTAGAAATCCTACAGAACACATTTCAAAGGGAGCTGCCCTGTGGTTTTGACTGGATTTGAATTTATATTAAGTTTTATCCCATGTACAAAACCAATTTTTTCCTACATATAGTTTTTTGTTTTGTTTTGTTTTTAGTTGGGGGGTGTAAAGGCAAGCAGCATGTTTTATCATGGTGTTTTGCTTCAGCAACTTTGGGACAAATTAAAAAGTCCTAAACTCTGAGGTAAAAAAAAAAAAAAAAGAGAGAATAGATAACCTCATCTTTCTCCTGAACCACCAATTTTGTAGTTAGCAGTCCAATACTAACAGTACCACCATGGTTCCTCCCCAGTATGTAAACTCACAAATAAAATAAAATCACTGCCACCCAATACATCCAGACTCATAGAGACCCTATAGGATCACACAGAACTGCTGTCTAAAGTTTCCAAGGTTGTCACGCCCTATACAAGAATGAACTCAACATGGATTAAAGATCTAAATGTGAACCCCCAAATTATGAAGGTCATCAATGAAAAAAGAGGGACAAATGTGAGGGTGCTAATTTAGGGCATATACTGACGATCAAACATCTTGAAAAGTACAAAAACAAAAATAGACAAAATAGATGAGTGGGACATACTAAAAATTAAAAACGTATGTGCATCAAAAGACTTCACCAAAAGAGTAAAAAGGGAACCCACAGAATGGGAAAAAAACTTTTGCAATGACACATCAGACAAGGAACTTATTTCTAAAATATATAGGAAACTACAACACCTCTACAAGAAAACGACAAATAACCTAATTAATAAATGGGCACAGGACATGAACAGACACTTCACCAAGGCAGCCAACAAACACATGAAGAAATGTTCACTATCACTATCCATTAGAGAGATGCAAATCAAAACAACAATGAGATATCATCTCACACCAGCAATAACAGCAAAGATCAAAAAAGCAGAGGACAACAAATACTGGCAAGGATGTGGAAAGACTGGGACCCTCCTACATTGCTGGTGGGACTGCAAAATGGTCCAACCACTCTGGAAAGCAATATGGCGCTTCCTCAGGAGGTTGGAAATAGAAATACTGTATGACCCAGCAATTCCTCTACTTGGTATTTACCCACAAGAAATATGAGCCATAACACGAGTAGATATATGCACACCAATGTTCATAGCAGCACTATTTACAATAGCAAAAAGATGGAGATAGCCTAAATGCCCACCAATTGAAGAATGGATAAACAAACTATGGTACATACACACAGTGGAATGTTATGCTACCTTGAAGAATAACAAGGAAGCTGCAAGCCATCGCTTAACATGGATGAATCTTGAGGACATTATGTTAAGTAAAATTAGTCAGTCACAAAAGGGGAAATACTGCATAAGACCATTATTGTAAAAAACTAAGAAAAAGAACCCACCCAAAAGTGTGTGTTTGTGTGGGTGGGGGGGTAATCTAAATATATAAGTGCTGATCACTGGTATGTATGGGATGAGAGGTGGGGAGGGAGGGCGAAAAAAAAATGTTTCCAAGGCTGTAAGTCTCTATGGAAGCAGAGAGTTTCATCTTTCTTCCTCAGAGCAGCTGATAGGTTAAAACCGTCAACTTGTGGCTAGCAGCCCACTGCTTAACCAACTACATCACCAGGGCTCCTTACCCAGTATGTAAAGAGTTTCTAAAATCCTACCACCTCCCAAGTCTTCCCAGAGTGACCACAAGAGCCCTGCCAGCTTCACAGAGCTACAAAGACCAAGACTTCTAATTCCTCCATTACTTCTGCCAACAGAGTGTTTGTTTTTCTCTACCCCACTTCCTACGCCTAGTTTGCTGGTTGCTGGTGAGCAGGCACTGAGTCTCTACCCACCTCACACACTGCCCCAGCTAAACAGTAAAAAGCAGGCAAACCAGATTCTAGGATCAGTATTACCATTGACAATAAACTTGGAAACATCCAGAAAACATAAGACCCCATGATCTATGAGTAAAGACTGGAAGAATGGAAGAAGACACAGATTCAGGTAGGAATAAAGGGAAGAGGATGGGATCCACATTCAGATAGAGCACTTAAATGGCCTCATGACTCCAGGTAAAATGTCTCCAAGTTACATGGAGACAGGTTTGGACTCAATATAAGGACCAGTTCATATCATGAAAACTGCTTAATGAGACAGAGATTCCTCCATCATTGGAGCTGTTTAGGCAGAAATGGACAAATGCTTAACCATTAAAGAAACGTGTTCAGAGCCATTAGTCTATCAAATAGCTACCACAAGTAAAAAGATGAGTGGGACAAGAGAACAGAATTCAGCTGGGAAGAAAGAAATGCCATCCTGGGTAGTATATGGGCTATTTATAGAGGTAATTCTTGTGTTTATAGTTGCTGTTCTACATTTCAGACACTACGAGTCTAGAATTTACCTGTTCTGAGACTTGTTCTTTTCTGAAAAATGAAAGGGACTACATCTGTGGGTTAATGAGCTGGACTGCAAAGTCGGTGTGAACACAAAATCAGCGCAGTTCAAGCTCACCAGTCACTCCTTGGAAACTCTATGCAGGGTCGCTATGGGTCAGAACTGACTCAATGGCGCTTAACAACAACAACAGCTGTTCATTTTAGCATTTATTGTGCACCCACTACAGGCCAAGCACAGCACTGGAGCTATAAGCAAGAATGAATTAGGGACACTCTCTTCAATCTACCACACATCTGTCAGTTTGTCATACTGCAGTGGCTTATGTGTTGCCACTTGTATTTTAAATACCAGCAGGGTCACCCATGGTGGACAGGTTTCAGCAGAGTTTCTAGACTAAGATTAAGGAGAAGAAGAGGCAGACTACTTCTGAACGGTTGTTGCTATTAAGGGTCAGTTCTGACTCGTAGAAACCCTGTATAGGGTTTCTGAGGAGTGACTGTTGAGTTTGAACTGGTGACTTTACAGTTAGCAGTTCAGTGCTTATCCTACAGCACCACACCATACTCTGAATGGTTGTTGTTGTTGTTGTTAGGTGCCATCAAGTCGATACTGACTCATAGCGACCTTATGCACAGCAGAACAAAACACTACCCAATCCTGGGCCAACCTCACTACTGTTGCCACGCTTGAGCCCACTGATGCTGCCACTTGGCCAATCCATCTCATTGGGGGTCTTCCTCTTTTTCTCTGACCATCGCCTTACCAAACATGATATCCTTCTCCAGCGACTGGTCCCTCCTGACAATATGTCCAAAGTATGAGAGATGATGTTTGGCCATCCTGGCCTCCAAGAAGCACTCTGGCTGCACTTCTTCCAACACAGATCTGTTAGTTCTTTTGGCAGCCCATGGCACTTTCAATATCCTCCAACACCATAACGCAAAAGCGTCAATTCTTCTACATTCTTCCTTATTCACTGTCCAGCTTTCACACACATATGAGGTTATTGGAAATACCATGGCTTGGGTCAGGCGCACCTTAGTCCTCAAGCTGACCTCTTTGCTCTTCAACACTTTAAAAAGGTCTTGTGCAGCAGATTTGCCTAGTGCAATACGTTGTTTGATTTCTTGACTCTGAATCGTTAGTCACTGAAAACTTTATGAATAGCAGAAGAACATAGTCTGAAATGGTGCCAGAAGATGAACCTCTTAGGGTGGAAAGCACTCAGAATATGACTGGGGAAGAGCTGCTTCCATAAAGTAGAGTTGACCGTGATGACGTGGATGGAGTAAAGCTTTTGGGACTTTAATGTGTTGATAAGGACAGCTGCAAACATCCATCAATAATCAGAATATAGAATATATGAAGTATGAATCTAGGAAAATTGGAAGTAATCAAAAATGAAATGGAATGTATGAGGATCAATATCCTAGGCATTAGTGCACTGAAATGGACTGGTATTAGCTATTCTGAATCAGACAATCATATGGCTTACTATGCCAAGAACAAACAATTGAAGAAGAATGGTGGTGTAGTCATCTTCAAAAAGAGCATCACAAGATCTACCTTGAAGTACAATGCTGTCTGTGATAGGCTAATATACAAGAAAAACCAGTTAATATCACTATTATTCAAATTTATGCATCAACCACTAAAGCCAGTAATGATGACTTTGAAGAATTCTACCAACTTTTTCAATCTGAAAATCAAACATGCAATCAAGATGCACTGGTAAGTACTGGTGGTTGGAATACAAAAGTTGGAATCAACTGAACAGCACCTAACAACAACTCTCTTCAGCTGAGTCCACAGCTTAGTGAGAGGGTCACAGCATCACATGCAAAAGAGATGCTTGTGACAGTGCAAGAAGTACTGTTCAGAGCATGAACACAGAGCGATAGGGACAGGGAAGAGAGTCTGCCTGGTGGTGTGAAGGCGGTGTCAGGGGAGGTGACAGCAAAGTTACCCAGTGAAGGAAGAGAAAACATTTTCCAGGGAGAAAAGGAAAGAGACATCTCTTCAAAGCAGACCTAACAGCAAAAGGTACAAACCTCTGAAAAGGTCTGGCATGCTGAATGGTTGTTGGGAGAAAGTATGCCGTACACAGCAGAAAGAGGTAAGAAATGAGGCTGCACTGGGCCAGGTTGGGAAGCACTTGTAACAATCTTAGAAATAATTTTTAAAGGCTAACCTTTAAGCTTTAAAAAGTTCTGTGATTCCATGAATCGCTTTGTAAAGGTGTTGAGATAATAATGCACATTGGTAGTGACTTTCTCATCTCTTCCCTCTTTGCTAGACTATGTGGGGCAGAAGATACATGGAGATGCCAAAATTGCCTCTTTACCGGATTCTTTCCTCTCTTCTCCTCTTGTCCAGTTCCTCCTGCCTTTGAATGGATTTCTGCCGCTCTGTTTCCATCATCTGATCCAACCTCTTCTCCTCTGTTTCCAATTCTTTTTGGATCAGCTGCTTCTCCAGGATTTGGGCATCCCGGATGGCATGGCACTTGGCATTGAGAATGATCTGAGAAATGGAGATGAAATTAGGGCACTAGATCTGGGGACAAAAATAGAGAGGAGTGCTGTATGGGGGTGTGGAAGGTTTATGGGGAAGAAATGGGAGCAGAATACTACTGAGCGTGCTAGAGAGGCACATGGCTACGCAGAAAGCCAGAAAAGCAAGAGCATGCATACATTGGCCTTTCCCCTTAATACAGTTCAACTGGAACACTGACAAAGCTCCTCCAAGGTGCAGGAGCTTGTGCAAGAAGAGGTCCATCTTTCAGGGCACCCAGGTCTTAATCTTTTGGGAATCATGAATTAATCATTCTCTGGAAATCTAATGAAAGCTAAGGGCTCAGTCCATTTATATATATATGTTGGTGGTGTTGTTAAGTGCCATCCAGTAGGTTCCGACCCATAGTGACAGTCTATAGGGTTTCCGAGGAGTGGCTGGTGAGCTTGAACCGCCAACCTTGCAGTTCAAACAGCTTTTCAATCAGTTGCATTAACCTACAGCACCACACCAGGACTATCTATCTATATCTATATCTATATCTATATCTATATCTATATCTGTATCTGTATCTGTATCTGTATCTGTATCTGTATCTGTATCTGTATCTATCTATATCTATATCTGTATCTGAGCAGAAAGCCTCATCTTTCTCCCATGCAATGGCTGGTAGTTTCGAACTGCTGACCTTGAGGTTAGCAGCCCGACTCATAACCACTATGCTATATATATATATATACACA